CCACAATCTGATATCATCAAAATCTGAAGATCAAATTTTATAAAATTTCTCTAATATCATAAAATCTCCAATTAAAATCCAGTTTACAAGATCATGATTCATATCTAAAATCTATATCAATCTCGAAATGGCTAGCCTTCTAACTCGTCACTTCCCATGGTTTTCCCGTCCTCGGTTTCGCTTCCTGAAATGGTGGACAAGGAAAACTATGAAATAAACTCAGTAAGTAAATATGGAGTGCCCTTAATTAAACTTATAGCATGCCAACAAGTGCAATCATGAAAAACGGATACAATACGGGAACGAAATAGACGTCTCCTCTATAGGTCACGGCCAGTGTTATAAACCTCCCACTGGCAGACACACGATTTACTAGTGTATAATCCCCAATAGCAGGGTCACTTGTACGAACCGGTTCTATCACTAACATATCGACATATGCCGACATGTGCTAGCGTTTAACTCCCACTAGCAGGATTACAGAAACATATCGACATGTGCCGACATGTGCCAACATGTGCTAGCGTTTATAAACTCCCCCACTAACAGGGTCACTAATAACATGACCACATCAGAGACAAAACAGGCTGAAGTTAACAGAAAAATATAATTCACCAATCACTTTCAGATCATCAGGACAATCAATTAAATTCCAAGTAGGCATGCTCAATTTAATGAAAAGCATCAAAATCTCATTTCAAATCAATCATGCTCATTTCTGTATAAAACGGGTTTAGTCCCGCCACCACTTCAAAAACAATCAACACATCTTTTAAAAACTGTATAGGCATTACCATAAATTTAGTTACCTCACTCGCATAAAACCGAGCACTCAATCTCAGTGCTAACTGACAAAACGATCGGGAACCTAATCAAAACACCTCAGAATTAATGCCGGACTATCACAAATTCAAACTGAAAACTTCATTAGGATCACCCCTAATCCCAATGCTATTTCCTATCAATCTCCACATGATCAAATATCTCCAAATTTGTTCTTATATTACAAACTAATCATTTAAATCCCCGTTAATTGTTGACCCTCGGTGTGTGAACAGTAAACTATGAACAGTAACTGCACTTCCGAAATTGACCAAAACACTAGCTAATTCACAGGATTTTCTCTCCAAAAATCACAACAATCTAAATCAAGCTAATTTACACTTAAACCAAGCTTAAAACATGTTCAAAGGCTACCGGAATTCCTCCCTATTTTCTGTAAAATTCGGTCATCACAAGGGCAGCCAATCCATGGACAAAATTCAACAATTAAAGGGGTAAATTAGGACTTAGATGGGGCTGCCACTTACCAGAATTTGCAAGCAAGGAACCGGAGCTGCAGGGAGAAGAAGCCGGCGGCAGTGCAGGGGCAATTCACGGGCTACCCAAAAATTCAAGAACCAAAACACAATTCAAAGCAAACCCAAGCCAATTAAAGCTGGAGAAGGGAGATTCATGGCTGTTCTTACCAGAATTTTGAAGAATTTTGCCCCCACAACAAGAGTAGCCGGCGGACAGAGCAAAGCAGAGCAGGGCAGATCCGGATTTTCCAGCAGGGGGGGAAATTTTCTGGGTTCCATTTCAGTCTTAGAACAAGGAAAGAAGGCCAAAAATCAAGCTTTCTACCGGTTTCCCCAAGCATGGCTGTCGGGTTCCCTTTCTTTTTTCTTCGGGTGGCTGCAGCGGGAAGAAAGGAGAAGAATAGCAGAATCGGGCAAGGCTGGGAAAAATGGAAAAAAGGAGAAAAGAAATAAACCATCCTTATCCAAATATCTCACCTTTAAGCCCCTCAAGTTTGGATATTTTGGTTCTTAAGCCCAAAACAATATTTTTCCACAATTTAGTCCCTAACTCACTTATTTATTCTAGAAATTTTTGGGGTCTTACAACTTTCAAAGAGGAAGTTGAAAGGCATATTTGATCTTAGACAATTACAATAATCAAATACTCTCTTTAATCATTTCTCAAAAATATTCTCTTTAATCAAGAAAAAGAAAAAACTTACCCATGTGAATTGAGATCTAAATAAAAATATATTTTTTTTATCAATTTTTCCTTTTAATTTTTTTTAAATGCAATTCATCCCTTAATAATTTGTGTTCATTGCATTAATCTAGCCTTTTATCTTCTATTTTACCTTTATTATATTATATTTGAAAAGCATAATGTTTTGTTTTTCATCTTAAATTACATTTGTAAGTTATTTCTAGTCGGAATCTTTTCATTTCTTTATTTACTACTTTGGTTTCTTTTGCATTTTAAATTTATTATTTTTAAAGAGAAAGTTGAAAAGGTGCATTTAATCTTATACACTTACTCTAACCAAATATTCTCTTTAGTTAAGAGAGAAAAATAAAATAAATTTTCATTTATTTCATTCCTTTTTAAACTCACCCGCCCTCAATTTTCATTGCACTTCTAGGATTGATTTTTCAAAATCATCTACAAGAATTGAAATGAATTGAAGCTAGCCATTTGTGAAATTAAAAGTTGAAAATAGTTATGATTAGAATTTGTTTTCCATTTGGTACAATTCTGGTTGATAATTTTCCACTTCTATGTATTTCATTTTGGCTTTTAATTTCCAAAATCTTTTCTACTCACTAATATTTTTATATGATATTTGTTATGTTCTTTTATTTGTTAGATTGCTAATCTTTACTTTTATTTTGATATACATGTTTTAACTATTTTTATTTTGTTATAGGATTATAGGTATCCAACATATGTTATTGAAAACTCAAATTTTATTGGAGCTTATATAAGGTATGTTAGTCTTCCTTCTTTTTTTTTAATTATATAAATATGATTTAGTTTTTGTAAATTGTATATTTAAAATGATATTTTTAATTTTACTGTTAAGTTTATGGTTTAATATTGTTTCATTTTAAAAGTTCAATTTCTTACTTCCATTTGTGGTTAGGTTTTATTTAATATACTTATCAAAAAACTATTTTTATGGTTGAACTACAAGAAAAGTGCGCAAAAATATCTATAAAATTATTTAAATATCCTTAATAAATTACTCATATGTTTTAATTCATTAATAGTGTTTAAGTCTTTTTAAAGGCATTTGTAGACTTTTATACTAAAGTTTAACTTGAAAATCTATATATATATATATGATATTAGTATTTATTGTCATATATGTAAAAGAATTAGACGAAAAAACATTCAAAACTATAATATTTTAATGTGAAATATGTATTTCTTGCTCAACTTTTATTCGATAAAGAAGAGTAGATGATTAAAGTGCGATATGTAAATTATAAGATATTTTTAGTTTGAAAGATGATAAGAACTATCTGAATACTGAAATGGTTTTGCTGATTAAAAGGTAATTTTATGAATTATTGTATTTGATTTTTTAGGCACTTAACGATTCCTATTAACAAATTTATTTGTAAAAAATTGTATTCTTACTATAATTTAGAGTTCTAATGCTCTGCAATTTAAAGATATATTGGTTAAAAGAAATGCTTAATACATGAAAAGAATAAGAACACGTATTGTGTTGCATGTTATAATAATTACATAATTCAATTTTATTGTCACACCCCAGAACCCAAATCCGGGGACGTGACAGATGCCGTGCACTCGTGAGAGGATCCCACAAATGCACAAGACTCAGAACTTATCCAATTCACATCTGACACTCCAATAACTTAAATCAAATATCTCAATTTATTTCTATATCCAAAATGACTTAAATCCAAGTAATTGATCTAATGATCGAAATCTGTTTTGATCTCATAAATTCAAGGTAAAATCTATTTTACAAAAGCATGATTTATTTCTAAAATCTATATCTGTTTACACCTAATTTTACAACAAATGAAGTGCTGCCACGTGTCACCCATGATGGCAGATATTTTAGTAGTTGAAAGTTGGTGTGGATTTCTTCAGATGAGATTGAGTGGTTATTTCCCCAACGGCAGCAAAACCGTTCTTTTGTTGCGAGCTTCCCGGAGGATAATTGCAGCACCAACAAATTAATCAATTTGTTGCAGATATTATGCTGCCGTTGGTCTTTCAATATGCTGCCGTTGGTCTTTCAATATGCTGCCGTTGGTCTTTCAAGATGCTGCCGCAGATCTCCATCATGCTGCCAAGGTGCTATAAATACCTAATTATAAGATCAAGCAAAGGATCGACATCTCACACAACAGACTCAGCACAACTTCTCTTTATACTCAGATTCATCTTAGTTTCAAGCCCTTTAATTTAATTTTAGCTCTATGCTTCAACCTAGATTAGTTTAGCAATTCGATTCTTCTTTTGTCGAATTTGTAATGGTGAGTTTCGCTGCCTTCAGTAATATTTCTTTGTAATTGGATTGCTTCCTTTCCTTTATATTTGTTTTCCAGATTTCCTTTAATTTAATCAAATGATGTCGACATTTAATTTCATGTTCAGTTCCATTTCTATTAATTTACATTTTATACTGCCAGTAGATTTTTCATGCTTCGGGTTTTATTTACTTTAACTTTATTTACTTTAACTTTATTTACTTTTACTGCAATTAAATTTCCTTTTAAAGCTCTATTTCAATTCAGTTTACGTATTTAAAGTTCATTTAGATTTTCAGTAGTTTAGCAATCATTTATTTACCTTGCAGTCCTAACTTTTCTTGATTACATTAGCTTTAAGGAGTCCCTGGAATCATATCCAGGGCATTTTGTCGAATAACCCATTTAGTGCAGGAAGTTCATCCATCGTTTCTGCCAATCGTCTGATCTTTAAGGTGCAATTCATGACGTTCTTCCATCAACTCACAAACTGAGTTCCACGCTTGGAAAGAAGAGAGGGTCGTCGAAGAAATCTTTCTTGTTTTGAGCAAAGCAAGTGGCACGTCATTTCATCTGCCACGTGTCAAGGAGATTTTTTGGGATAACAATATCAATCTCAAAATGGCTAGCCTTCTAATTCGTCACTTTTCGTGGTTTCCCTGTCCTTGGTTTCGCTTCCTGAAATGGTGGACAAGGAAAAACTATGAGATAAACGCAGTAAGTAAAATATGGAGTGCCCCTTATTAAACTTATAGCATGCCAACAAGT